TAAAAGATCCTATTTTCTGTTTTAAAGTTACTAAATCAGAAATTAAATAAATATATGCAGAAAAATTAGATAAATATTTACCAGTAAGCAACTATGTATACTTTAAAAAATAGAATTTATACGTTGTTTTTTTGAACTAAACATGTTGCTTATCTGAAATCAACCTCAGATCATTAATTCTGAAACTCTATTAATGCCTTTTTGATATTGTTTTAGTCTTTAGTAAATCTATCAATTTTATTATTAGACTAAAAAACTAAAATCATATAAGAAACTAACTGATAAAATTGCATTCGAAGGTTTGAAAAAAATATACTCAAATTCAATTTACAAAGCTAAAAAAAGGTTATTCGAATAATAAACAAAATAATTCGAACTTCATATTGACCATTAACCTTGCATGTATAAATCCAGTATTGTTTGTCTTTTTTTGCAACACTATCCCTTACAACATCTTTTTTAAAACTACTTAACTTTTGAATAAAAAATCTATCTACATTAAATCTATTCTCTTAATTAATAAAACAAAGGATATTATTGATATTTGTAATGACCTTTTTATGAAAAATACGAACTTCAGGCTTCTTATCTTCATCTCTATCACAATCACGATCAAGCACAGCATTAATTATTTCAGCATCACTTGGTATAATATCCGTTTCAACACTATTATCAATATTAATAAAATCATTTGCCTGCATTAGACTAGTTATAGGAAGCTGATTAATTAGAGACTGAATTTCTGTTACAAAATCAGTAGAATTGAGGTCGGCAGCTTCTAATTGCGGTTTTGGTAAGATAAGATCAATAAGCTCATAATCCTCTGATTCCTAAGAGGTCAAAAAAAAATAGTTACTAGGAAGAATTTCAGTTTTAATCCAACAATTACGAATTGTATCAGCAGTAACCTGTTTCCATGCTTTAGCAGAAAGATCAATAGCATCTTTAATATTAAATACTGGTGCATCTTCACCAGATTCTATTGTTTTCTCATAGGCTATGATACGGTTTTCACAAAAAAGTTTACAGTAATGTGCTTTAAAACTCTAAATGATACCAGCGTTACAGGGTTGTAAGTAGGCTGTAGTATTAGAAGGAAAATAGTGAATTTTAATATTAGATGGAACGAATCCTTCTTCAAGAGAGTGTGGTGAAGCTTGATCTATTAATAAAAGAATTTTTCTCCCAACTCGTCTCATTTGTTCATTAAGTTTTTTGATATAATGATTAAAAATTAAGAGTTGCATCCAGGCAGAAGAGTTCTAGTAATAATAGACAGGTAATTTTGACTTGTCAATACGTCAAATAGCATGAGGGTTTTGGTATTTGTAAATAAGTAGGGGAGGTAATTTGTCATCGCCAGTACAATTACATATAATTAAAATTGTAATTCGATCCTTTGCTTTTTTTTTCCACGAACAGAACCACTTGCAAGAGTTTTTTCTGGTTCAAGATGCCAGTATAAACCTGTTTCATCACAATTATATACATCCCGGGGATGATAATTTTTGATAACATCTTTAAGTTTATCACGATAATGTGAAAGATCATTAATTGGTGCACTAGCTTCTTCTCCTTGCTTCGTATACTCTTTAATGTAAAACCTTTTTTTAAAATTGGTGAGCCACCCTTCTGACCCCCCCAAAATTATCAATATGCAGCTGTTCTGCGAATTGGAATACTTTATATTGGATAATTGCACCTGTAATTGTTTGATGGTATGCTTCAGCTTTTGAAATCCACAGGCTTAGTATTTCTTCAAGTTGAGGATACTTAGCTGAATGATCTCGTTTAGATTTTGCTTCCTTTGAGTTAGGATCAATTGAAAGCCAGTAATTTTGTTGTTTAAGTATTTTTGAGACTGTTGATTCACCAATATTAAACTTATTTACAAGTTCAAGCTGAGTAAAATTACTTTTCCGCAATTGACAAATTTCAGCCTTCTGAGCCTTTGTTAATATAACTCATCTCATTTTTACAGTTTCAATTGCTTGTTCACTTGCTTCATTGGTATCTTTATCACTTAATATTCTTTTTTTAGAGGCTAAAGCTTGGGCTGTCATATCACTATTTGCTGATAATCTACTGACTAAAGACCCACCAATTGGTAACTCACTAACCAATGATTCATCAACCAAAGACCCACTAAATTCTGTCATTGTTATACCGGTTTTGATTCAAACTAGTAAATGTAAAAAAAAAAAAAAAAAAAAGGTAAACCAATTTATTTTTATGAGTCCTATGCGAAAAAAAATTTACTTAAAGCTTATTCAAAAACGTTTACTGTAATTGAAGGTTTTAAGAAATAAGAAAAAAAACTTTAAACAAGAAAAAAATTAAGGGCAGTTATTAAGTAAGATAATGTTTTTTTTTTTTAAAAAAAAAAAAGATCTCAAGTCTTCTAACATAATTTTTTTAAACCAATTGTACACATAAGATCGACCTAGCTTAACTCAAAACCATCTAGCTTAACTCAAAACTAGCTTTTTCAGAGCTCTACTCTTTTCTGATTCTTCAACTAAGTTAATATAAGTTTAAAACATTTTTAACGTTAATTTTTTTTTAATTGATCTTGCACGTTGATCCTGAATTTTGATTGGCCTATAATCACATGCATCACATAGCTTCTTATATCGTGATTAATTTAATTAAGAAGGGGTAGCTCTAAACTTTCTTATATACTATATCAAGAGTTTCTTAATAAACTTTCTTATATCAAGTGAAATTTATTAAGTTTAAATTGGGACCAGCCAAAAACTTTCTTATAAACCAACTTTCTTATATAGAGGGTTTCTTATATCGAGAGTCACTTGTAATAATAAAAATTGAAATACTTCTTGTGATAAATTAGAAATTGCTAGTAAAATTTCTGTTATGATTTTTTTGTGGCATATGTAGGCTTCGAGAAAATTACCTAAATTATAGTTGATATAATTTGTTTTAATATTACTAAAAACTAGTTAGTTTCATTAGTAGTACTTTTGAAGATTGAAAATTTTTACAATAAATTATATTCAGAAAATATTTATGATTTTATAGTAGTTTATAAAATTTTTTACAAGTATACTTAAATAAGTTGTATTCTTTTTGACATCTCAAAACATAAAATCAAAAAATTATCTGATATCGATATTCACAATATCTGAAGATGCAAACACGTTGAACAAAATTGAGGCAGCTGTTAAATTTTTAAATTTAAAAAAACTGTATATAGGCTCTTGGTTATGATATCTATTGTTGAAGTAAAAAATAGTACTGTCTAGTGGTAGTACTCAATCTACTCCTTTCATGACAGGATATTTGACTAAGGGTTCTGGCACTAGCACACCTTCTCATACTGGCTTTAGAAGTATACTCAAGTGTTTAACCCTGAGTACTCCAACCAAGTCACCTCTCTTAGAGTAGATTGTTTCTATCAGCATCATTAGGGTTTTTTTACTCTGTTCAAGAGCCTTCAACTTCTGAACTTACAAGATATAGTAATCTTAAGCTTATATACTACCTATGACTCTTTATTGAAAAAATTATAAAATTCAAAAAAATAATTGAATCTGATTAGTCATACAATATCATAGTATGTTTGATGATCAATATAATATAAAAATCATGCATTTTTTAAAAAGCTGCTTATAACTCAAAATTTCGTCTATAACCTGCCTTTTGCACACTAGCAAAAAAAATTTCTTGCAAAATTTTGGTATAACCTTTGTTGTAATCATAACCTTAACTCTACATAATACTTTATTATTTTAAAAAATTGGTATATTTGTTAATTTGATATGGCTAAATGACGTAGATATGAACTTTTGACTAGATATTTTGAAACAGAAGAAATTATTAATGTTACATGACTGATTCTTCGTTTGGTATAAAAAAATTTTTTACAATACCAGATTATTCTGTTAGTATATATTATAATTATAAGCTTAAAATATTTTTTGAATAATTAAACAAGAGCT